TTTTTTTTGAGACATGGTCTTTACTAATTTAGGGCCTTGATAAATTGCTGAGGCTGGCTTTGAGCTTGTGCTCTTCCTGCCTCAGCCTCCTGAACTGCTGGGATTATAGGTGTGTGCCGCTAAGCCTGGCTCTCACATTATTTTTTTATTTTTAGTTGTAGATGGACACAATACCTTTATTTATTTTATGTGGCTCTGATAATTGAACCCTCTCATGTGCTAGGCAAATGATTTACCACCACTGAGTCACAACCCTCACATTACTTTTAAAATGTTATCTATTCTCATTTTTCCATATTTCTTTTCAGACCTTCTTATATGAATATAAACTTAAAATAGCACCCATAATTGTATTGAAAGTTTTATATTCTGAATTTAGTTTTCACTTTATATGCCAAATATTTTTTCTGTTATCATAGTATTCAGTGACTTTTTAATAATCTATTAAATTGATGTGCTATATTTAGTTAAAGGCTTATTTGCTTCCAAATTTTTGTTATTCTGAATAGTGCTAGTACAAACCCTTTTCTCAGGGGCCTTTTACCATTGAGCTACATCCCTTGTCCTTTTTATTTTACTTTTAAATTTTGAGACAGGATCTCATTAAGAAGGTCTTGTTAACTTGCTGAGACTGATCTTGAACATGCATTTCTCTTTCCTCAGCCTTTTCAGATGCTGTAATTACAAGCATGTGCCACTGTGCCTGGTGATCCTTTATCTTTCAAACTAATTTCTCGGGATAAATATCCAGGAGTGTCATTTCTGGCCTAAGGGCAGCTAAGGTTAAGAGCATGTGTTGTTAGCAAAACAGTATTAAGATCATAAAATATATTATCTATACAGCCCTTGAAATTTCAAGAAATGAAATTGCTGTGTTTCTTAATAGGTGTTGGGTGATTTTAATATTAATCTTTTGACTCTAATAGTAGTCTTATTTTCACTTTTTTTGTAGTCTTTTTTTGCATTAAGTATATTAGTCCTCGAGAGTGTGAATATGAGAGGTAAAAAGAAAGAACAAACTTCAGTGTAATTTAATGGGTATAATATTAAGTTTTAGTTTGAAAATTGGCTGGGCTTTTCTAGAACATTTATTTCTTATTGAACAAGAAGTCAGTTTTTTTAGACTTTTATGCAGGTATACTTGAGGCCCTTCTGATTATTTTGAGACTTTTTACTACAAAGAACTCAAGTTATTAGAAAATATGTTGTCTTCAATAAATGAGAAAATATTGCTTTTTAATAACCAAGACTTTATATATAAGTGGAATAATTTTATTTTGGATGTAGAAACACATCTGAAATAGCATATTTGTTACTCAAATATTATTTTTTAGTTTACATGAATGGTTTAGGTATAGATTATTTTAGCATCATTAGCCTTGCTTTGTTTTCCAGTTTAACTTTTGTTGCTTAGTGTTGAACTCCAGAAATATTTTTGTTCTAGAAATAATTTATTCATTTTTCGATGTGTCACATTAAATAGATGAGTAAATTCACATTTATGAAGTTTTACTTTATATTTAATGAGAGTAATACATAGACAAAAAGTACATATTTCACTTGTTTTTCACTTCTAGGAATCTTTTACCCAAAGTCAGAGTCAGTTTTATAGTAAAAGTTGGCCTCAGGGAAATTTTCTTTAATCTCCGGAGAGGCTAAAGCTGCTTTTAAAGGTTTTGTTCACCTTCTGTAGGAGCTAGACCACTTCAGTGTCACGTTTTCTGATGTTGTCCATCATGCTTCTAAGAGGGTTAGGTTCACTTTTCAAGTCTTTCACAGTTTTGTTTTTTACACAGCAGCAGCAGTCAAGCACTTCATAAAGGAAAGCCAGCACCACTAAAGATACTACAGTAAATATAAATAAAAGCAGAATGACAAAGCAGGCAGTGTTCCAGTTATCATGGAAAGGGTAAATTTTTTGAACTTGAAAACCAAGATACTGATAAACAGAGGTGGTGGTTTCGTTCCAGTGACTGGAAGCCATTCTTAGAGATTCCACTTCTTGTATTGCTCTTTTGAATCTATAAAAAGGTAGAAAATGAATATATGTAACCAAACTACAGATTTGTCCATTCAAATCTCAGTTCTAAGATTTCTTAATAAATTTATATAGGCAACACGAGTCTTCCTTAGTATCTAAAAGATTTAATTACTGAATTGTATTTTTGAGTGCTTTATGCCAAATATTTAAACTACACTTTTGTATATCATTGGTTAAATAAATATTTGTGTTTAACATTCATTTACAGAAATTAAGTGCTAATATGAAATTAAGTGCTAATAACAAGGCAGCTGACTTTGTTTAAGCTTGAATAAATAACTTATCAATGAGCAATTATTGATTAAAAATTTTGGAGTTTTAAGTTTGTGTTCTTCAGACTGCCTCTGGAAAAGCTTTGTCATTGCCTGTATGTATTCTTCTTACCTTGGGTCAGTGTATTTCTGTCTTCTGTTTTTACTTCTTTAAAGACAGATGTTTTGAATCAGGAAAGAGGAGCCAAATGAAAAATAGTAGAGAAAGAAAAAGCCAAATAATGGCAGTTTTCAGAATGAAGATAAAATAAAATTTTAGACTAAGTTTCCTGTGAAGAGAACTCAATCTTGATATTGTTTGATATATAGATGATAGTATGAACTGTTTTGTATATCTAAATGATCCATGAACACTATATTAAAAAATACAAATTCAGCCCCTGATAAGGTAGCTGCTATTAAATTACTATTCCATTTCACAAAGTAAACTAGTGGGTTAAATTTCAGTGTTCTTGCATTGTTTTGGTCTTGTTGACCACTACTTATTAGATCTTAAATAGAAATTCAAAGATTAAAAATTTGATAGTTTGGAACTAATGAGAAGCTAAATGAATTTTTATTATCTTGGTCTCTTAAAGATACATTTTTAACCCAATTTAAAAGATTATACTAAGACAATTTTGGAAATAAGAGGAAAAATGGTTCTATTTCCTTAATTCAATTGATTGCTATCACTTGGTATGCTTTTTCACTATATACTTGCAAGCAATCTTTACAACAAATGTTTATTACTCATCGTGTACCAAATACTTCTGGAGGCATCTTGTTTGCATGTTTCACATGGGTAAAACTTCAAGGTAGTACAGAAGTTTGAGTATAACAAATCCGCATGTGCTTATACAACATATGTTTATCAACTCTTGATTACTCTATACTTCTACCCACTTGCTTCTATGGCATGGATTATTTTAAGGCAAATTCCAGACATTTAATCTAGAAATATTTCAGTGTTTATCTCTAAAAGATGAGGACTCTGCTTTTAAATAAAAAAGTTCCATATGATTTTTGCATCCAAGCTCCATAGCAATATAATTCTTCAAGTTTGTTTTTTTAATATTTATTTTTTTTAGTTGAAGTTGGACATAATACCTTTGTTTTTTTATTTATTTTTATGTGGTGCTGAGGATCGAACCCAGGGCCTTGCATGTGCTAGGTGAGCGCTCTACCGCCGAGCTACAACCCCAACCCCTAAATTTGTTTTCTTAATACATATAATTTTAAATCTTTGATTGAGAGAATAATATTTTCTAAAGTTTTTGTTTTCTATCCTAAATCAAATTTTCTTGGAAAATTGCTTTGCTTCTTTGATTGAACATGCTTCTTTCCTTTTTTCCTTCCTGTATTTTGAAGATTTAATTGATGATTTGAGGGCAGATTTAAAGGCTTAAATACATTTTTTTTTTTTTTAATTTAAGAATTTCTTCAGTTTTGGTATTTGGTGATCCTTCATCTTGAAGTGAGGGATGACAGACTTAATGGGTAGTAATTGAGTTAATTGTGTTTCATAGTTCAGGAACATGCAAAAATACATTGTCTGGGCATGGTGGCACACATCTGTAATACCAGTGACTCTGGAGGCTGAGGAAGGAGGATTACAAGTTCAAATCCAGCCTAAGCAACTTAAAGAGACCCTGTCTCGAAATAAAAAATAAATAGGACTAGGGGTGTAGTTAAGCACTCCTGGGTTCAATCCCTGGTGCCAAAAACAAAAACAAAAAACATTGTCCGGGGCCTGTGTTTGTAGCTTAGTAGTAGAGTGCTTGCTTAGCATGAGTGAGGCATTGGGTTTGATCCTCAGTGCCACGTTAAAAAAAAAAAAAAAAAAAAAGAAAAGGTATTGTGTTTATCTACAACTAAAAAAAATAAACCCCCAAAATACATTTTTAGGAACTTAGGTATAGTACTTCCCATTACATTATAGTATTTTCAATGTCTGCACACCCAGCGTTTCAAAATTATCTACTTATCCTTTCAGTTTTCTCTTCAGAACACATTCTTATGGGAAAGCAGGTCTGCTTCCTCGCATAACTTTGGGAAGCACGATTCACAGTTTTCCTTGGGGTGACCATCATGTGCACCTTGGTATTAAGTAATGTGGATGTCTTGATAGGCCATTCGTTGGTTGTTGATGCCTTTGATTCTAATCACTATGCAGATAATTATTGAAGTAACTTATAGAAACTTACTCATGTGGAGACAAAAGTTAGGTCTTATTTGACCTGGCTCTCCTAATACAGTAAAGGCATGTGAGGGTGCTTGGGCACGTGTACACACATCTTAAAAATGTCTGGCTTTTAATTGACCAAGTTATGTTCATGTCACAATGAATCCCACTATTATGTATAATTATAATGCACCAACAAGAATTTTTTTAAGGCATTTGGAGCTCCCATAAGATTTTCAACATTGCAAAAATGCACATATTTTTGTGAGGGGTACCATACATTGTTACAGTGAAGCTTTACTTCAGTGTAAATGTTTCATGTCTTTTTTGAAGAACCCAGGTAATAGAGAAGGAGAGGAAGAGTAGGACCTTGGGGAACTAGAGGGAAGTGCCAGCTTGTATGAGTGGAAAAAGAGTAGGAAGAAGCACCTAAAGATCTAGCTGATGGTTTTACCTGTTCTAACCTGAGGCCTGTACGATCTCCAGCATTTATGGAAATAATACTTAGACTTTCTGTTAAGGCTGTTTACGTTGATCCCTTACTGAGATTTCCATCCCCCCACCTCTGGTGCTGGAGTTGAACCCAGAGCCTTGAACATGCAAGGCAAGCTCACTACCACTGAGTAAATACCCAGCCTTATCTCTTTTTGAAATCTGGGAATCTGTTCTAAAAGATTTTCTTCTAATTCTGGCATTAGAAGCAGCTGCAGAAGGAACAGTAATAGGGAGAGAAAAGAGACTTGAGAAGAGTAATTTCTATATAATGCTTCTCAAATTAGATTAATCTCTTATTTTTTTTTAGAGAGAGAGTGAGAAGAGAGAGAGAGAGAATTTTAATATCTATTTTTTAGTATTTGGCAGACACAACATCTTTGTATGTGGTGCTGAGGATCGAACCCGGGCCGCACGCATGCCGTGCGAGCGCGCTACCGCTTGAGCCACATCCCCAGCCCTAGATTAATCTTTATTATTAATGAACTTATTTAAAAATGTTGTTTCTCTGTTGATTTCAGATACCATTATAGCAATTTTAAATAAAAATGAAAAACCTTATCCACAATTCTACTTCTATAATGCAGAAAAAGTTTTAATTTTTTTCCTCTGGAAATTGACTACATAAATCTATAACTTGGACCTGGCTAAAATTATTTGGAAGTTATTATGTTGTGTTTTAATTTACTATAAGACAACTTTTTTTAGTTTTGACTTTAAAACTGGGGAGAAGTTTTAATAATGTAAGCTGCCATTTCAAAATGAAATTTTAGAAAGATTAGAAAGTCAGTTTAAGGAATCTCATTCTCTTTATTTATTGATTGATTTTTATTTAAATTTTTTTTGTAGTTATAGATGGATAGATGCCTTTATTTTATTTGTATGTGATGCTAAGGATTGAACTCAGTGCCTCACACATGCTAGGCAAGCACTCTGCCACTGAGCTACAGCCCCAGCCCTATTCTCTTTATTTTTGAAGTACAACTATTTAAGTTTTTTTAAGGCTCTCTTTCCTCTAAAAAGTAAATAAAAAGAGCAGGAGAGGAGGGGAAGGAAAAGGGGCAGTCAGGCAAGTAGGCAGGCAGGCAGAGACAAAACTAAATTAAATTATTTGAGGTTAACTTGTACCCATCTATGAACTCTTCTGGCTGAATAATGTAGGATTTCCTTTCATTTGAATCACTGTGTAATGATATGGAAAGGGTTTTGGAATATGTTACATTAAAAGAATGAGGTGCAGTACTGTGCATATGAAAAAGGGAAAATAATATGTATTCTTTTTTATATATTTTATATATATTTTATATATGTGTGTGTGTATATATATATATATAGTTGTAGTTGGAACCAATACCCTTATTTTATTTATTTATTTTTATGTGGTGCTGAGGATCAAGGTGAGTGCTCTACTGCTGAGCCACAATCCCAGACCCGTAATATGTATTCTTAGCTGTATCTGCACCAAAATTTTGCAAGGATTTAGAAGCCAATGACAGTGATTGTGGGAATGAGTGGAGAGGAAAGAGGGGCAGAGGAATATGCACAATTTTTACTTTGTTATCTTTTGATTTTTGAACCATTGGTATTTATTACTTGTTTAAACAAAAGCATGATCTATTTTGAAAGAAAGATTACTGTTCTTTGCCTTTGAAATAAAGTTTTTTTCCTTGTCTATATGTTATGTATCTATTCAATATAGCTATTGAGTTTTTGTATCACTTTAAAAATTAAAATTGATAAACACTGTCATTTTGATTAGACTGTGTACTTTATTCACACATAAAATTCATATGATGATTTTGCTTGCAGTAATGACTGGAATAGCAATGTATGCCACCTCCATAGACACTTGTATGCTTTGTGAGAAATGTCTAAGCAGTTTAGGAAAGAATTATATGACAGGCTTATGATGTAAATTATGATAATTTGCGACTTGAGTATATTGATAATTGATGAGCATCTCAATACATTCTTGCTTTAGTTAGCCCGTGGTTACTTCTGAAACAAAGTAAACTTTATGGTATGGAGATATTTTCCACTTTAATTTTTTTGGGGGGTACCAGAGACTGAACTCAAGGGCACTCAACCACTGAGCCACATCCCCAGCCATATTTTGTATTTTATTTAGAGACAGGGTTGTTATGTCTACTAAAAATTTTATTAACTATAATCAGTTATCTGATTTTATAGTATTCAAATGTGAAAATATCATTATTGCAAGGTTGCTTAGCACCTTGCTGAGGCTGGCTTTGAACTCTCAATCCTCCTGACTTAGCCTCCCGAGCTTGTGGGATTACAGGCATGCTACAGGTGTGCGTCACAGTGCCCAGCTAGTCTACTTTAAATTTAATGTGTATATTTTTTTAAAGTGTAGAGGAGTGCTGGTAATTTTTTTGTGTTAAATTTAAGGTAAAGACTGAGTCTTACTTTGATGAATTAGACATGCAAAAATAAGTATACCATTAGGATTTTCTCCTATTCTGAGACTACATTTTTGAAACATTTAATTTATATCAGTTAAATGCTTAAAGATGCCTTATAAAAAGCAAGAGAAAATGGCCAAAACATGTTAAAATAATCTGTTATAATTTTTGTTTTTTTGATTCTGCCCCTTTAAAATTGCATTGTAGAAATCAGGGAGTTTTAAATAAAATAACAAGTTTAAAATTTTTTATTTAAACTTGTTGAAACACCATTATTTTATTTTATTTATTTATATGTGATGCTGAGAATTGAACGCAGTGCCTCACAGATGCCAGGCAATTCTACTACTATTCAGCCCCAGCCCCAGCCCTCAAATAACAGTATTTTATAGTTACATTTTTAGTTTTGTTTTGTTTTATGTTATTTTTGATACACTCCCTTTACCTGCTTTTCTTCTTATTTCAAAAGACCCCAGTGGAATATATATGGGGTAGGACTTGGAATTGTTCTGGAACCTTGGATTGTCAGATAAGAATAAAATTATGCTTTACCCTTTTTTAATGGCAAAAACCCCTTGACTTCTCTGGTGCTTGTAAGCATATCACTTTGAAATATAATCAGTTAAAAATAAGATAACTTATGATAAAATATGATCAGTTTAAATACAGAGCAACTCATTCAATTTAAGCTTTAGAGCTCTCCGAGATCAGTCATGCTGCTAAGTCCATTTAGTGAAACACTAATGAGCATCCATCTGCACTAACTATGGATATATTACAAATAAAATATAGGCTGTTGAGAGTGTTTGAATAATGTGGGGTGCTCAGGGTTCTATTTATAATTTACCTGAATATAAGTTTTAAGTTAACAGTTTTATTTCACAAAGTACATTAACGGAAACCTTTTTTTGGCTGCCATATTTTGTATTAGAAGCAGTATGGTTTCTAGGTAATTAACCCAATAGTGTTGAACCTGGGGAGCTCTAATATCAGCAATCTCTGAACTTAGTAAGGGATATCCTGCTCCTGTTAGTTGAGTGCTATGAAATAGAAGGAATAGAAATTGTGAAACAAACAAAAAAACCCACCAAAGATTAAATGAATTTAGCAGCAAGATAAAGGCAAAAGTTGGATCTTTAGGTCAGTATGTATAATATATTGAGCATGTATCTAAAGCATCTATTAAATAATGATATTTTCATGTTTGAATACTATAAAATCAGATAATTGATTAGTAGTTAATAAAATTTTTAGTAATCATAAACAATTACTCTGAGCCATGAAAATATTATTATTACCTAGAATTACCCTTCTTTAACTAGTTCTTCTTAGAAGGTATTTTTATTTTAAAGTGTAGTTTTTCAAGAAGATTTACTTCTTGTTTATTCTGAGGATCAGTTTAAGAATAACTTCAACATTATATTTAAATGCTGTGATAAATTTTGTTATGTAGCTTGTAAAAAAATGAAAGGCTATCTAAAAAAGATTCTGTTTAATAATATGATTTGTATAATACAGTGAAATAAATTTCACTTTGAGGACATAATTAAAATGTTAGGAAAATCTGAAGCTCTGTACATCCTCTTTGGTTACAGTAAAACACAGTTCATATAATGATACCTTTTAAGGTCTGAATATTTTGTATAAAAATCACAGTTGTGATAATTTAGCATTTTCTGCATCTACATTTTTATAAAATAATTTTGAACTATTTTCTCATGTTTGTTAAAATGTAGTAAACTTTCTCACTAGTAACTGCTGGAATAATTTGCACATGTAATCAGAAAGCTTTAATCCAGGGTTTGCTTTTAATCTAGATTTTTCTTTAAGAAAAATCCTTTGTTTAGACTGAACTGCTGAAATGAAATTGCTCTGAGAAAAACAAATTAGCAAGTAACCAGCCAGTTAACATCAAATGCTTGTGGTTTACTGAAGGCCTGGATACAGATCAGATTTGTACAAAATGTAATGAATTTTCCATTAAGGCACAGGATAGTAAGGGTGCTTATCGAATAGCACAAGGCAGTCTTCATATTATAATAAAATTCTACCAAGCAGTGGAATGAAAACATTGTTCTTTTTTGGGTCTTTATAAGGAACAAGGCTTTCTGATTGATTTTCATGGTGAAATATTTACCGTCCTAAGGACATGGAGTACTAAATAAAAAAGATCATATAAACCTACCTCTTGTCTGAAAGGATGCTGTCGAAGCGATGGAAGCGGTGGTATCGTCTGTTTGTAATGCAGTCTACAGCACAGCCAAGATGGAGCTGTGCTTCTATTGGTTGAACACAATGCAGCTGACAGTTTCCTCTACGTTCATTTGCATTAAGACCTGACACCCTGAAGAGTGAATCATTCATAAAGGCAAATAGAGCTGTCTGCTATATCAACTGTCACTGCTTCTCCTATATTTTTTATGCTTAAGCTTAATTTCTTTATAGGAATTGGTGATTCCTTAGTGTTTACAAAATTGAATGTCCTTTGGTGACTATTTCGGCTGTAGGACTAGAAGATAAAGTAACGTAGGAAACAAGGGTCCAGTTTAACAAGCTTGATATTTCCTCCAAGAAGTGTGCATAAAATCTTTTTTTTTTTAAAGAGAGAGAGAGAGAGAGAGAGAGTGTGTGTGTGTGTGTGTGTGTGTGTGTGTG